TTGATGCAGCCTAAAATCACATTGGCCTTTTTAGCTGCCACATCACATGATTCCCATCTCTGCTCTAGACAGCTGGTTCAAGTCAGAATACTGGGCTAAGTAACAGACCTTACAGAATGTTGTTGCATATATTCGACCACTATGCAATCAAACATATATGTCACTCCCAGAAATTCCCTTGGGAAGTTAACTCAAGACATTATATATATAAATGGCAATAATAGGAATGGAATCAGTTCCTGGTGTTGTGTCTCATCATATGCTTTCTTACTCTTGGTTGCTATCTTTGGTGAAAAGAGGAGTCACTGCTATGCAATGGAAACAGAAGTAAAGTCCTATTCTTAGTTCTGACCAAAGTAAAGCCACTGAATACTTGATAAGTCAACATTTAAGTAAGGTCTATCGAGTCAATGGGCCAACTCTAGTTCAGCCTATCAATAAGACTTAGGCCATACAATTATTATTTCTTTTAAGAGAGCCAAAAGTAATTTGGGAAAAGTATCATTTCTTGTGGTGTGTACAGAGGTGGTCCAATACATTTTGCTGCTGGAGATAATGGTGGTATCTCCTTCAATTCCATGTTTAGAAACTGACTAAACTGGCAGCTGAACCTTCCTTTAACTCCAACTGCATCTGCACAGCAGAAATAATGCAGCTCCATATTGCTTTAACTGTCATGGCTCAACATATTTTGTTGGGTACCCATGTTCCCTGACAGAGAAAGTTAAATATCTCACCAAACTGCAAATCCCAGGATTGTATAGCACTGAGCCATGGCAGTTAAAGCACTTTGAACTGCATTATTTCTGCAGTGCAGGTGCAGCAACTATTGATGGTGTTTTGGGCTTGACATATATTGTGCTTTTCCTTCACCCAGACTGTAAACTCACTTCCAACAACTTTATTGTGTAACTAAATAACAGTGACTAAAAGAAAAATATAGAATGGAACAATGAAGTATGGTAAAAAGGATGTGTGGACAGTGCCTTTCATGAGCTCAAAATGAGGAGAACAAAGCTGGAGGGAGGACTGCTGAAAGGGACAACCAATGTGACACAAATCCATAGGCTGCATCCACAACCTGGTTTGACATCGCTTTACCATGGATTTCTGGGAACTGTAGTTTGCTGTGGCACCAGAGCAGTGACAGTCTCAACCAAACAGAGTGTGAATTTGGATGTGATCCATGCAAAAGGAAACAGGTTCAAGGACTAGTAAGACCAAGCCAAGCAAGGTAATATTCAGGTTATAGGTAGCACCTTGGATAGCTCCTTGGGAATGCAGGCTGACAAGTTCATCCAAGTGGGTTCAAATAGTACTTCAACAGCAAACAACTCCAGATTGAGGTCTAAACAGGGCTCAGACTCATTCTGGATGGTTATTTCCGCTGCCTCTGGGAGATTTCTGAATCATCAAATCATAGTCTGCAATACACTCAACAATCAGAATCAGACATCGGAGTCTGAAGTGGTTTTGCAGCTTATGGTTTGTACACTAACTATGGTTCCTGGGAAACCCTGGGATTTGTAGTTTTGTGAGGCACCAAAACTCTTTGGCAGAGAAGGCTAAAGGCCCCGTAAAACTACAAATCCCAAGATTTCATAGGATGGAGCTACAGCACTTAAAAGTGGTGTCAAACTGCACGGATCCCATGTCAAGGGAAAATATTTAAACATATCCTGTGGTGAGCGAAGGACACCAAAACACCCGATAGCTTTGGAATCTGCCGCTGTGGTTGCTTTCATTACATAGTTTTTATTGTTTTTATTGAATTAAATAGGTTGGGTGCGTTTTTTTTAATTAAAGGGAAACTACAAGGGGAGTTTTCTTTTCTGAAACTGTCTTGTAGAATGGATGAAGAAAATGGCTTGGGATATAAATATTTGAATCATCATGATCAACATCTGCTTGTGTTGTTTATATAATTTTTTCCCCCCAGTTAATGGTTTCTGTAATGGAGGTTGTAGCTTAGGAACTGTGTCAGTTTCATTTTTGTTGCTTTTCTCAGAATCCTGCTGGATTTCTCATCCTCATCTCAAATCTATATGGAGTTGTGAGACTTCTCCTCCCTTTCCACATGGGAATTTCTGTGTACATTTTGGTCCACATTTCCTCTAAAATATGCACTCTTTGTGCACCTCTTCCCTACATACACATGTCTTTTTATCTTCTACGTAGTTTTATTTTAAATGTGTTTTAGATTGTTTTAACTGTATGCTTTATACAATAGAATTGCTTGTTTAAAAAAAAGTTTTCTGCATACATTTTTAGCTGGACTTTGTTTTCAAATTTGGCAAGCCACCTTGAGTCCCTTGCTGGGGAAAAGTTGGGGCAAAAATAAAATAACATCAAATAGTTCTGCATTTTTCCTTGGATTAAAGTATATGGTGGTGTTTCTCCCCCTCCCCAAATACTACACATGGTTTTGCATGCCATTTTACTGTGCTGGAATGCTTTGCAAACCTTAAAAATATGCAGATTTCTGAAGCAAAAGAGAATTTCATCCCCTTCTTGTCATTGCTGTTGTTGCTGTTGTGTGCCTTCAAATTCTTTCCGATCTATGGTGACTCTAAGGTGTCCATAAACCATGGGGTTTCTTGGCAAGAACTGTTCAGAGGACGTTTGCCATTGCCATCCTTTGAGGATGTGAGAGTGTGACTTGCCCAAGGTCACCTAGTGGGAGTTTGTGGCTGAGCTGGGAATCGAACCCTGGTCTCAAAAGTCGTAGTCCAACCCTCAAACCTCTATGCCACGCTGACTCTTTGCCTTTCTCATAAGGTGTAAAATGAATATTCTCCTAAGGAAATGCAAATATTAATTTTTTTCTGTTCCTATTTGCAGCTGCCCACTGTAAAGAGCATGGCGTTACTTCAGCAGCACATGGCAACTGTACATGGATTCCCATCCCCTGCATTGTACTAGGTCTTCCTTTGCTTCAACCTGTGGGCAGCCAGTGCTTTGTTGTAAAACACATCTGGCATAACCTCCAACATTTCACAAAGGAAAACTGGGATGCATATAACCAAGCAACATCACCATGTGGTCAAGATGGCAAGAGTTATTAATGAGGAAAAACACACAAACTCAGAGTGGTTGCAGCAGTTTGCTTTTGCCCGAGTTTCCTGGGAAGGCCGAGTTTATTGACTGATTAATTTTAAAATAATTTTAATTATCTTTTCTATATTATATGCTAGCTGTCCACATTACAAAGTGCTCAATACAAACATGGATACACAGTACACACCTAGACCAACTACCAACTAGACATATTTTAAGACTATAAATCCTCACCTTTTTTTATCCCTGACTATGAAAGACTTTTGATTTAATTTAATCTATATCCCACTTAAAGCCAGTGTATTATAGTGGTTTGAGTATTGGGCTATGACTAGAGACCAGAGTTCAAATCCCCACTCAACCATGGAAATCCACTAGGTGACCTTTGGCAAGTTGCACTCTCTCAGCCTCAGAGGAAGGCAATGGCAAATGTCCTCGGAACAAATTGTGCCATGAAAACCCAGTGAAAACCCACCTTAGGGTCACCATAAGTCAGAAATGACTTGAATGCACACAACAATAATATCCTGCTTTTCTTCCATAAGGAACCCCAAGCAGCCTCCTCCTCTTCTCCCAAATCTAAAGTTTCTGCCTCTCTTCTTCTCCTCAGCAATTCATTGTTTGCAAACTACTTTTGCACTTTTAACTCAGTGACAGCGATTGAGGGAAGCTGAAGACAAAGTGGGCAGAGGAGAGAGAAACCAGGACATTTTAAAAACAGCTGAAAAAGTGAGATGACACCTTTGTTTCCTGCATCCCTGGAAGCAACTGATTTTGGGTGCCATGAAAGGTTCATTATTCAATTTATTATTTTTGTACCTGTACTGCCAGAGAAGAGGAGTGGTGTCTATGGCATTTTTGTTCTTGCAGTTTTGTCTTGGGTGCCAGAATACCTTTGCGGGACATCAGCCTAGCAATGGACTCTGTGGCCCCAGAGGTTGCGCATGCATGCCACTATGGTAAGATTCAAAGATATAGCCATATTAGTCTGAAGAATCAGTATGTAGAAGGTCTTGTAGCACCTTTGAGACTAAATGAAAGAAAGAAGTTGGCAGCATGAGCTTTCCTAGACTTCAGTCTACTTCCTCTGATGCATTTGGATCTCAGATGCAATTGGTAAGATGTTGGGGTTTGTTTTTCCCTCTGCAGAAACCATGAACCAAAGTACAACTTGCCTGATGCTTATTGCACTCACATAAAAATTGCTTTTTCTTATGGGACACGTTGCAGGACTTTCAGAAACACTCCCCCTCCCTCCAAGTTTTAAACGATTCCATTACTCCTGTGTTAATGAAGCTTTCCCTTCCCTCTTTCCTCATTAACAAAGTCCTCTGGCAATGCCCGCTGGTGCCCCTCATCCCCGAAAGCCCATGCTGTCGGCTGACAGGAACAGCAACAATCATTCATTTCAGAGCAAAATATTTACTTTTGAAAGGGGAGTCGCTTTGATATTGGCCCCCCTGGGGGAGCTGGACTCTCTCACCCACCCGCCTCTGCCAGTCCCAAATCCGGACTCATCAGCCGTTGGCTTTTGGAAGGTGGAGAGGGCCGACTTGGAGAAGACTCTGGAGGGCTGATGGGTGGAGAGGGACAGGACCAGGGGATTTGGGGGTAGGGGGGCTTTTGCACCTGGGCCTGATGAAGTTTAATAGACTTTAACACATGCAAACAAGTGCTTTTGTTCCGGGGACAAAAGGCCTTCCCAGCTTAAGGCTGATTCCCAAAACACTGCGCCCATTGTTTCCCCTCCGATGCCTCTTGTCACTCTCCTTGTCAAAGTTTAATTAGGACAACGAGCTTTTTGCAGGCTCATTTTGCACTTCAGCAACTTCCTAACACTTCCCTAACGAGGGAAACCCGGGCCCTTTGGGAAGGAAGGGGCATCCCGGGAGGGGAGCAAAGCCTCCGACTAGGGGAGGCCGGACCCTGGGGGAACAAGGGAGAGCGGTCCAAAGTTGAGCCCCAGGAAAGAGAAGGTGGATTGGAAATTTTTATTGTAAAAAATAACTATTAAAAAAAACACCCATCAAATGTCCTCTTTTCTTAAACAAATCCTATGATCAAGTCTGATCATATCCATACTTTTCCAAACCTTGTATAGTTCCATTCTGTAGCATAGGCAAGACAAGATTAATATTCCAACCTATATTCTTCCTCGTAAGTAATGAAGGATGCTAAAAGCCTAAGTTAACTGACTTGGATCTTACTTATCGCGCATCATTTTAAAGGTGTATTTGGGAAACTAGGGTGAGGATTGCCCACCCAAGCGAAATGAACTCACAAAATGATGGGCAAAAGCAATGCCCTCAAGAAATGAGAAGTTAAGGCATTTCAAGGAATAGGTAATAATCATCAGCTGAGTGTAAGAATAGGTATATTTGAGACAATAGGTATATTTGGGACAAAGTCCTTACAGATCAAGTAGAAAATACTGAGATATTGTCGTATGTTGATATGAAAATCAACATGAAGAGGAGGAATTTGAACTGCAAATGAAGAAATGATATACAGTGGTATTATATATAAAACAATTTTATTGGTTACAAAGATGTAACATAATAAATCACATTTTTGTTCTAACAGGTTTTTAATGTATAATCATGTTGGGGAGGCTTTTACATGAGTACAGATAAAATATGTATATATCATGTAGAAAAGTTAGTAGAAAATACTGAGATATTGTATCTTGTTATATGTTGATATGAAGATATAAGGAGGAGGAGGAGAAGGAATTTGAGCTGCAAATTAAAAATATATATACAGTGGTATTACATATAAGAGAATTTTATTGATTATAGAGATGTAGAAAAAATAATACGTTTTTATTTAAGCAGGCTTTTAATGTATAATCATGTCAGGGAGGCTTTTATACAAGGTGGGACAAAATATTTATATTTCCAATATAAAAAGTAGAAAATACTGAGATATTGTTATATGCTGATATGAAGTTATGATAATAATGAGGAGGAGGAGGAGGAGGAGGAGAAATTTGAACTGCAAATTAAGAAATTATATACAGTGGCATTATATATAAGAGGATTTTATTGGTTACAGAGATGTAGAATAATACTCAGTGACAATTAACAAATAGAAGAAACAGTCAAGAGAGTAGCTCAAAAGATAAGAACAAACCCAGCCATGAAAGAGATAGTGGTAGGGTGGGTTTTTAAATAAGGAATGAAACCTTTTATTTGGATAGGTGTTGTATGAAGAATGATGGATGTTGAAGATTATGTATATGAATAAAAACATTTTTAAAAAGAAAATAAGTTGTATTTGTGATAGGAGTTTTAGTGCATAAACATCTGTTGATGTGGTCTGTTTGCATGGATAACTTAACAGGGCATGTACTTCCAGATACTTCTCCCCACTTCTAGATGAGCACTTTATTGATGATGATGATGATGATGATGATGATGATGATGATGATGATGATGATGATGATGTTACTGTGTTCCTTCAGGTCATTTCTGACTTATGGGGACCCTAAGGCAAAGTTATCAAGGAGTTTTCTTGGCAAGATTTGATCAAAGGAGGTTTGCCATTGCCAGTATAAGTCTTAAGTTGGTCCTGGAACCAAGCCAGTGCTCCAGAGTCTGAGAAAAGGCAAAGAACAGGGTGCCATTTAAAAAATTATTACTTTGTCTTGTGATTCCAGAGTTTACTTTTAAAGCTTTGGATTTTCACTATGTGTCTCCTTCTTCCATGTATCAATACAGATCAAAGTCCACCCCCAGTGAAAAAGACATTATGCTTCACCTTGTGGTTCTTTCAGAGCAGATAACAGCCGCAGTCACCTAGTCACGGATGCCCGACTGTCTCTCAATTAAATTCCAGTTAACTAATCATCAGCTGAGTATAAGAATGAAATAATATCCAACATCAAAACAGACATGGGGCTGGGGAGGGTGGGAAGGAGGGAAAGGTTTGCTGTGATTCGCTAGTTTTTGTAAAATTTGATATTGTGATTTTTTCCCCCCAAAATGAATCTATTAGCTGCCTTGAACTTTGCAGAAAAGGCTGGTGAAAGATTCCTAGCAAAAAAATAATTAAAAGGAGCAACTGGAATCAATGAGAAACAAGAGTATGTATGGACAGCGAAGGAAGAAGACAGAAAGAAAATCAACACATTTGAGATGTGGTGCTGTAGAAGAGTGCTGAGGATGCTGTGGACGGCCCAAAAGACAAACAAATGGGTCCTGGAACAGAGCAAGATTGAAATCGCCTTGGAAGATGATGAAACTGAGGCTGTTGTACTTTGGAGACAACATGAGAAGCCATAACTCATAGAAAAGGCAATGATGCTAAGAAAGGTAGAGGTTAGCAGAAAGAGAGGAAGACCATATGTCAGGGAATTCATGGGTTTGAATTGCAGGAACCAAACAGAGCAGTGGAGGACAGTAGTATTAAAGATGTCTCATCCACAGGGTCACCATGAGTCAGGGCTGACTTAAAGGCAGTTAACAACATCTTAACATACAGAGCCAGTGCGGTGTAGTGGTTTGAGTGTTGGACTATGACTCTGGAATGCAAGGTTTGAATCCCCATTTGGCCATGAAAACCCACTGAGGTCCAAAACACACTGCAGAAATAATCCAGTTTGAGACTGCTTTAACTGCCCTGGCTCACTGCTAGGAAATGCTGGGAACTGTAGTTTCTTGTGGCACCAGAGCTCTCTGTCAGAGGATTCCCAGGATTCCCT